GAGCAAAACAGAAAGTCGTGGATGGAGTCAAAGCTCCTCCAGGTGTAAGGTGAGCAGGGAAGGACACTCTGGTTTTAACCTGCAATGAACGACAAACGACCAAAAGCCACAAATCCACGACACAAAAAGACAGAAAACACGTTTGTTTTGTCAGTCACAAGGTCAGAAATGAAGAATTCTTCAAACCACTAAAAGGAGGTGCTAAACACGTGTTGGACATTAAATGGCACCGATTGGCCTCGTTTCCAGAGACTAAAGTTTTAAATCGCTTGCAGAAAACAAAAGTGCTGATGGATAAAGGGCGTCAATTCAGCTGTTTTATTTGTAAAGTCTGGTGTGTCAGTGATTTAACGTCCATCCGCGCCCATTGTGAGCATGTTAAATTAAAAAAGTGAGGTACGGATTTCCATTTTGGTGTGTGGCTACGTCTAGACGTAAGAAATGTGCCTTTCGAAACTGGGCTTGACAAACATTTGTGTGTAAACCGGCCACACCGAGCGTTTGAGGAAACTACGCTTTCTAGTTTAAGTATTGCTCAAAAATATGGTTTCCTCAAATTATTGGGGTGGCCCTTGTGGGGGTTGAAGATTAATATGTTGTGGCCAAGGCCACCGCTGGCCACCCCCTGGCTCTGCCATTGCACCTGGTGGTTTCTTCTCGCCAGGAGCCGACATTTTGTTCTGCCTCGGATGAGCGCAAAACAAACCGTTCTTCTCCACAGTGTAACTCCTACAAACTTGACTATGTTGCATCAAAAACATTAAGGTCTACTTGCATTTCCTGTTCAATTCCACTCCAGAAAAACACTCATCTCAAGAGCTACAAACATTCACTATTCAAACCTCAGCTGCTTCTCACAACAAACCTCATCCTGTCCCACGTTAACGTTGCAACGAGTTGCACTGAATGTGTTTTCCTGTAGGAGACGTTAGAAAAGCACCTGAAATCCTTAAAGAACCAAAGGGAAGCAGTGAAACACAGACTGAAGAAACTTGCAGCCCGGCAGTCGGAAATCACAGTGAGTTCTGCAGACTTCTTGGAAAATGAACTCAAATTTTATGAGCCGTCGAAATAAATTATGATAAAGTTAATACAAGTGATGTGTGCCTGACACAGAAACAGTCCTCAGTGATGAGAGAGAGGGTTGTACAGAAGTACCAGGAGATCCAGATTGTTCTAGAGGAGGACCTGAGGACTACTTTGTCCCACCTGGAGATGGAGGAGCGAGCTGCTGTCTCTGCTCTGGACGGGCTCATGGAGAGGAACTGTGCTCTGATCCAGGAAATCGAGCAGGACCTGTCCAGCCTCTCTTTAGCCCTGAACTGTTTCCACACAAACCCGGATTCAATGGTACCAAAGACAAGAGTCAAAATCCAGTGAATTAAAATGTAATAATTATTTGTGGTTTTCTGCTGCTCCTCAGGTTTTCCTTACACCCCCTGCACGGGACGACATGGACACAGTGGACAGGTATGGATGTCAAGGTTCTATGTCGTTCAGCGTACCGTCGAGTACAGATTTTTTTAACGACCTTCCTCCCTCAGAGTGATGGATCTACTAAACCAGTCGGACCCGAGCAGTGTGAGCCTGGATGAAGCTAAAGCTGATCAGATCCTGAGCCTCACCACCAGCCTGCTTCAGCTCGTCTCCTCACAGACCCCTTTAATCAGGAAGCTCCTGCAGAGCTGTAAGTTCTCACTTCATTTTTATACATCAATCAAAACAACTTGACCTCTAACATCAGTTTCATGTCAAACTAGAGAAGCTGCATTTACTCAGAAAATATGGCGTGAAGCCGAGCGCTAAGAACAGCTGAAAGTAGCTGAAGAAGTTTAAAATTAGATCGGGGCTATTCACCTAAAGTGCTCAGGGGGCCACAGTTTCTGAAAGCCAGCAGCTCAGGGGCCGGACATCCAGCGTTTAAAGTCATTATATAAATAAACCAAGTTTTACAATGATCTACCTTTTAAATTTGTCTATTTTATTGCATTGAATCATGAATGCAATAAACAGAACCCTAACCCCACAAAAAAATATATATATTTATATATTTATGAACTCATTGGTGGGATGGACTGAAGTCACCTGCGGGCCGGAAGTGGCCCACAGGCCGTCAGTTGAATAGCCCTGACTTAGTGGTTAAAGCTAAAAGAAGTTGAATACTAGACTAGCTAAAAGCTTATGGGATCCAATGCTACGGTAGCTAAAATGTTAAAAGAACCAAAATACCTGACAAGGACTAAAGAAGTAAAAACACAACTAAAAGTAGCATATGCTCCTAAAAGTAGCAAAAATGTTAGCTTAAAGCTAAAAGGAGTAAAACCAGTGCTTAATTTGAGCTGGATGCTGGAACAGGATCTGGGAACTCTTATTTTGACAGGGTGCGTTCCAGTAACTGTTTGGATCCGGTAACTCTCAGGCTTTCTACGATAATAATAAAGTTATGAACAAATATGACCGCCTTGAACGAATAAAACTTATATTGGATATGTGAACTGAAAATTATTACATAAACACTCATTTTAAACACAACACAACTTAATATCACATCAGAGCTGCCCCTTCAAGTAAGCATTTCCGCCTCCGCCCTTAGAGAAATCTCCGCCCCTAAAAGAGTGGTGGGGGGAGTGCCGAGCTAACCAGGCAGGAGGCCACGGGCAGCCTCCATGAACAGACGGAGGAGGCGCCTGGAGGTTTCACGTGTGGAGTCGGACAGTAAATTCAGCGGAGAAGAGTCTGCTCAGAACCATCAAGTGTGTGTGTGTGTGGGGGGGGGGGGGTGCTTGACAGAAGCAGCCCTTAGCAAAAAGTAGTTTATTTAAGTGTACTACAAGTATACTTATTTTACACTAAAGATGAGGAAGTGTACTTGAAGTTTACTTTTTATAAACTTTTTTTTGCTATACTTAAAAATAGTATAAAAATGTCCCAATTTAGTCCAAACAAGTATTAAATCATTATGCTTTCTAGTACACTACAAGTATGGGTGTAGTATACTTGATATACTTGTACTTAACTTAAAGTATACTTGCAAAAGTGAACTTCAAATGTACTACTTTTTATTAAGGGAGTGTTTACAAATGTAGGTAAATGTAGAAGTTTAACAACCCGTTAAAATACACCAAAATGCAGGACATCGTATCTACTTTATTCCAAATTTTCTGGGGGAGGACACTCCCCCCCCCCCCCCCACACACACACCTTGCCGCAGAACACTAAAGGCCAAACGTTGCAGAACATCAGTAAAGTAGCAAAACCTTAGCTAAAAGTCATAGAAATGCTAACTAAAAATAGCAACAGGCTAGCTAAAAGACTAAAGTTGCAAAAAAATAAAATAAAATCTATAAACTCAAAGTAATAAAACTTTAACTAAAAGTAGCAAAACCCTAGCTAAAAGTTCTTGTTAAACTTAAGGGGTTAGCCAAAAGTTTAAAGTAGTAGAGACTAGCTAGAAGTTATAAGGGGCAAAACACTAGCTCAAAGCTAAAAATAGCAAAAGGCTAAATTAAAGCTAAATGTAGCAAGAAAAAAGAAACGAAACAGTAACTAACTAGAAGCTAAAAGCAGAAGAACAGAAGCTAAAAGTAGAAAAAGAGAAGCTAAAAGCAGCAACAAGTTAGCTAAAAACTAAAGTAGCATAAGAAGACAAAAGCAGAGCAAGAAGAAAAAAAAATTAACTTTTTTGTAGTTATTGCAAAAAACACAAACAAACAAACAAACAAACAGGAAAACAGAAGTGCTGAATCAGCTTTCACACAAAAGAAAACTTTTGTCTCCAGACTCCAGCGAGGTGCACCTGGATCCAGGGACGGCCCACCCAAAGCTGATCATCTCTCCTAAAGGTGACAGCGCCGCCTACACCGACACCTGGCAGCAGCTGCCGGATCTACCCGGACGCTTCGACACCACCCTCAACGTCATCAGCATGCAAGGCTTCACCTGTGGCCGCCATTACTGGGAGATCGATGTGACTGGGAAGACGTACTGGGAGCTCGGTGTCACCTACCCCTCCATCCCACGCAGAGGCCCATCAGAAAACTGTTGGCTGGGCCGGGGGCCCGAGTCCTGGTGTGTGGAGTTTTTTGGTGGGGAGTACACCACATGGCATGGAGGGGTGCCTCACCAGCTGCCTTTCGCCAAACGTTTCGGTCGGATCGGCGTTTTGTGCAGTTTCCCTGCAGGGTTGGTGACTTTTCTCGAGGCGGAGAAAATGACGCCCCTGTTTTCTTTCAGCGCTGGAGTCTTCTCAGAGTGCCTCCACCTGGCCGTGTGTCCTGGTCATCACCACGGTGGCACTAACTCCAGTCCCATTGTGATCTGCAATGCTTCATCTCCTACCAGTGACCTCTAGCTGCACGGGAGAGTTTTAACTCGAACTGGAGCCACCTTGGACAGAACATGTTCAAAAGGATTTGACTTTACTGAGTCCATGTTACAGAGGTTTATATGGGACATACAGAGAACATGACTGAGGGCCAGCAGTTTTATACGTATACAGCAGGTTGCAAAAGTATTCACCCCTGGCATTCTCTGTTCTGTTGCCTTACATCTAGAAATACAAAGGGACTTTTTGATTTGATTATGAATAATGAACTTACACAAAACAGTCCAGATAAATATAGTTGTTGGAGAAAATTTTTCTCTCTTTATCTTACTCAAAAGGAGCCACACTCGATGGCAGGAGGAGATTTTTTTAACCAGTATTTTACTTGCAATGACTAATTTTCAGGACAGGTTACACAGATATACAGGAAGTACGCACGAAGACCAGTCATGAGAATCTGCCACGGGCAGTGTGTGAAGCTTGTTTTTATACATTTATCAGTTCAGCCGAGCTCAAAGACTCTGAGGCGTCCTTGGAGCGCCAGCTGCACGTAGCAGCCTCACCCAGCTCCTCATCCAGCTTTCTATTAACCCCAAACATATGGTTCATGGGCAGAGTTAACGTTCTCAGCCATAGTAGTTACAAACATCCATAAACTTTGACCAAATATCCCCTAACAATAGTTTAATTAGTAATTTTAATTATTAATTTAGTTAGTGCGAGCTGGAGGGGGCTGGAACCAAATGGAGTATAAAATCGACATGGGAGCAGGGGTCCAGTGGTTCCAGTAATATGAAGGAGGATGTCCGAGGTAGGTAAGTATTGGCAAGTGGCTGGAAGGTGAAGGAACAGCTGAAGAAGTCACAAGGGAATCCAGGACCAAGTGGAACACAGGAGTCAATGCTGAAACACGTAAGAATTGGTGGTGGCTGATCAGTGGGGGGCGCTAGGGTGCTGCCCCATCATTCAAACCACTCACATATCACCTTGAAGACAGAAAAAAAATTAATAATAAAATAAAAATATTTCAAACTATATGTTAATTTTTTTTGTTGTGTAAGATAAATATTTTATAGTTAATGATGAGTAAAGTAGTTTATTTCAAAATGTTGCCTCTGATTGATGACTTATTTCAGCCCTGGGGGCGCATGAATCTTTGCCCATAGACTCTCGTAAAAAGTTGTACATGCACTGTTAGCTCCTCTTCATTACAAGAGATAGGAAGATTCTGGGCGCACCACTCCTGCGCCCTGAATACGGTCGCACAGTACGGATCGTGCTTCCAGTCCCGGAACAGATTATTATTATTATTGTTTGTTTGTTCAGCGAACAGATCATGCAGTGACACTCTCACAACCAGGCTATATTGCAGGTAGGCTTTAAGCCATTGAAAGCTCTTTATCTAATGCCCATGTTGCTATTTCTGACTGATATGCCTCTCAACTTTTAGATGTCTCTGTTTGTGAAAAAACCTTCAGCTGACTGTGTTTTCTAAAAGTGGGAACTGGTGAGTTTGTTTGTTTCTGGAGCTAGCATGCGAGCGCTAGCCTCCTGGTTAATGTATTAGGTTCTGTGCTAAATCAGTGCTATATTGCTATTTATTTGAATGTGCTTATAGAAAAATTAATTATCAAACTATCAAAATGCTTTTCTATACTAAATGTCACTGATGGTGTTACACTATTTCTGAACACCTTCATTGTTATTGATCTGGAGAATGAAAAATAAGCCTCTTGTAATAAATAACTAGCTCCTAGTGTTAACACTGAAGCATTTAAATTGAAGGTACATTGAAATGGGGAAATGCTATACGTGCTAAGGTGCAATATTTGGACCTTTAATATTAGGAATATTTAAGAGTACTCAAATATTAAGCTTGATTCTATTTATATTATGAACTTATATTACTATAGTAATGATGATAAAACATGTACATGTATTGCTTATATTTATGACAGTTTTAGTTAATGATAAAGCACAGGGTTATTGATTATTAGGTCTGTTTCACACAGGCCAGGTTCCAGTCTATTGCTGAAGATGGAGAACCAGCTCTAGTTTTGAACCAGGAGATCGGTTGAATCCCCATAGCTCCTTCCAGTGCAGTTGGAGGCGCTTTTAGCCTTTTCTGTATGTGTATATACTCTGGTGGTGTATATATATATATATATATATATATATATATAGCCTCCCCATAGAGAAAACTACACCAGCCGCCACTGGTAAGAACACTTGCTTCACTTGTCACTAGGAAGGTAAAGTGGATAGAAGCACAAATACCGGTCGGCATGTAATGCTCCAGCAGCGAAGAGAAGTCATCTACAGCCTTTTCTACTCCTGCAGCTCATCGAGGAGAAGGTCCGCAGGTGTGTCTTGTTGGCGCCATCTTGTGACTTCAGGCTGCAGGAAAATCTGAACTCCCACAATTGTGTTGTATAAATTAAAAGTTAGAAATTTCACAAAATCCCTTAAGAATCCCATGATGCAAGGCAACGAAACAGACAGGATGCCAAAAGGGGTAAATGCTTTTGTAGCTATGCAGCTTATAAACTGTTTATTATGCTTTAATAAAGTCCATTTACAACCTATAAATATCACTTTTTTTTACTGAGTCCCTGTTTAGATTTAAATTCCCAACATTTACAAGGAGCATTACACCATTGTAGTTCCCGCGTTCCAATAAACCAACAGATTTGCACATTTAAGGTAAGTTCCAATGTACTAAAATGTACTTTTGCTGATAAGGCACATTATTTTCAGCATGCCAAAGCTGAACAAGTATTGTACTTGACTTTATCTCAGATGTACCCAGAGTTTTTTGATCCAAAGTCTATTCAAACAAGCAGCGGGCTCTGTGCAAACATGATCTCTGAGCTTTTGTGCTGCGTGTTTAGCTTTTTGAATAGAGTGAACTATCACGCTTATTAATATAAAATATCTTTAAGAATGGCACAGACAGCGATCGTCTGTTTTAAACTATTGCAGTGTGTATTTTTTATTATGATCCAGTAATATTTTTTAAGTAAATATTACATAAAACCGACCAGCAGCAGGGATGAATGCCAGATAAAGCTACGGTCTCAAAGGTTATTGACCTTGCACAGATAGGTTTGTTGCAGATCATTGCCGTCTTTATTCACTCTCCTTGATGACGCCTGATCTGCTGCTGCCATGAAGCGGACGCTGCTCTTCTTTTGCCTCTTCGTAGCAGTGATTCTTATTCCTGCTGAAGTACGTGGTTATTCTTTGATTTATATTCCCCGCTGAGCAATGTGGATAATGCACTTTAATGTCTGTTGTACAAAGCTGCTTTAGAAAAGGTTATTCTTGCACGTTTGCTAATATTTATAGTTAGCTACTTAACCTAAAATGTAACATTTTTTACAAGTTAGGAATTTGACGCATGCTCATTCAGATGCGTTTTCTTCTGTTCAGTCAAAACCTAAACACAAAGATAAACACGAGAATCACGGAAAACAGAGTAAACACGTCGAACGTGGGAAAAAAAAACTAACGTTTGAGGACATCATTGAAGGTTGGTGCCTCCATTGTGTCGTTTTAAGTTTTCAACATTTTGTCTTCAATAAAGGAAGAAGGGAAAGAAGAGTTTTGAATCTTACAAATGTTTGTTTTAGACGTCGTCTTCACAGAAAGCAGTGACGATGACGACGACGATGACGACCACGGTAACTCCGACTGGCTTTTTGAGCTTCAAGATTCAGATGGTGAGATCGTTACCCTCGTCACCGTGCACAGGAAAATGCTTTGCAACAGGGTTAACATTATGATCTTGTTTTTCCTTCGTCAGGCCGTTGCACCCCTAATCCTTGTCTAAATAACGGCGTGTGTAAAGAAAAGGGCAGGAAAAACTTCAAATGTGACTGCCCGAAGCATTTCAAGGGACGGAAATGTGAAAAAGGTCAGAAGAGCACGTTTGGTTCTTCTAGCTGTCGTGTGCTTTCATATCACTATCACGTGCAAGAAAAGGCAGCGCTGTCATTTGTGTGTGTTTATCATCATTACAGCTCCAAGAGTGTGTAGGAAAGGCGCCTGTGGACACGGTGAGTGTGTCCTGACTTCATCTCGCCCCCATTATGCGTGCAAATGCAAGTGGCCCTTCCAGCCCCCAGACTGCAAACGCAGTAAGAGATGCACACTAACAGGAAGTTGCACAGAAGATTTAAAAGTTTAAATCTAACTAATGTTGTCTCCAAAGTTTCAGTGTGCGAGCCAAATCCATGTCAAAATGGTGGCCAGTGCATCAGGGAGGGAAATAACTTTGACTGCCGGTGCCCTGAAGGGTTCAGAGGTCGCTTCTGTCGCGTAGGTGAGTACAGTACTGTACTCTTGCATTACTGTGAAGGGTGTCAATGATAAGCATCGGAAAAAACCCTGTTGCTCTTCTGTTTTTAAATGTTTGCCCTGTATCTTATTGTGCAGCTCTGAAATAAAACATCTTACAACAAAAGGTGTGGCTCATCAAATAGTCTGCGCCGACTTCTGATACCAGTGCGTTGCACCATGTAAAGAAAAAACTGAGAAACTGACGACCATCTACGAGATTTTGGCAAAACATAATTGACAGCAGGAACATTATTCAAGGTTGAAACGAGTCACGGAAAGTTAGACTTTACATGTTAGAAGTGGCGTTTGGATAAATTAAACAGTTTTTACACAATTAAGGTTTAAAGTTGATCAATTTTACTGATATTTCATAGAATGTCCAGTTGATAGTTGAGGCTGTTGCACAGCAAATTTAAAAATGTCAATCGACACCTTTCAAAATGTCTTCAGAAACATTCTAGTTCACGTTATTCTCCCAGTCTAAGAATATTTGTGCTTTGGTTTGTTTCTCAGGTCCAAACGACTGTTATGTGGGTGACGGGGAGACGTATCGTGGAAACGTAAGTGAGACAGAACATGGCTTTGACTGTCTCTACTGGAACTCTCACTTCATTTTGGATCTTGGATCAAATCCCTTCCACTCGTTCGAGGACCGAGAGGGACTGGGTCTTCACAACTTCTGCAGGTTGGAGGGAAATGAATAGATGTATTTAAAGGGTATTCAAACCAGCACTGAACTGATGCTCACTAGACTTTTCTCATTAAATGTGTAGAAATCCAGACGGAGAACCAAAACCCTGGTGTTTCTTCAGAAAAGGCCGCCAATTGTTTTGGGACTACTGTGATGTGACACGGTGTCCTGAACCAACAAGTCAGCTCAACACTAAGACTGGAAATAACTTTTAATTTTGGTCAACCAAACAGCTTTGATATCTTTTTGTCTGTGTTTCTAGAGGGGCCAACTGAAGCACCAGTAGTTCCCACTAGTCCTTATCCTACTTCTGCCAAGCCACCATCTACGACCCCACCAACACCAATGACCACAGAGGTTCCACAAGTTAGCACGACTCCCACAGTTGTCACTGAGGTTCCACCAATCCCCAAACCCACAGAAGGCCCCAACATCTCCACTGCTACTGCCGCACCTCTACAGTTTCAGACCTGTGGCCAGCCTCAACCAAAGAAGGCCCTTACCCGAATCTACGGGGGTCTGAAGGTCAGTCCAGGGGCGATACCCTGGCAGGTGTCAGTGCAGGAGAAACCAAGTAACTCCCAGCAGCCGTACAGACACGTTTGTGGAGGAGTTCTTATCTCGAGCTGCTGGGTTCTGACGGCTGGACACTGCATGTAAGCACCATACGTGAGCTATTTTGTGAATCTGGAGAAGTACCCATGTTTTCTGAGACGTCCTGGGTGGTGGGAGCTGAGATGATGTGAGATGCTGGGGTTGCGTTTAAGAACTATCCGGTATGCAAAAGCTGTATCTGCATCCTCGGTACAAATTTGAGCTCGTTCCCAGTGCGGGTTAGACTCTGCCAGGGCTGCCCTAGGTCTTCGTTATGTCTCTTGCTTGGTGGTAGCCTGCACCACTTTGAGGTGTTGCACCAGTGTTGATTCTGGGGGCTGTCAGAACAGCTTAGAGCCCCTGCTCTTCCTCATTGAAAGGATCAGCTGAGGTGGTTTGGGGATCTGATTAAGATGCCTCCTAGACACTTCCCTGTGGAGGTTATCAAGGCACTGAGAGGAGACTCCAGGGCAGACCCAGCGTTCACTGGGTGGATAATGTATCTTCTCTGGTCTGGGACTGACTTGGGATCCTCCGAGGGGAGGCGGAGAGAGTCACTTGCAGGAGGGAGGTCTGGATTTTCCTCTTGGACCTGTTGCCCCTGCAACCCATCCACAAATAAGACAAAAGAAAATGGATAGGGCGTCCAGTTTTGGACATGCTCACCAAATTGTCTTGTTTTTTCCACAGTCAACCTAACAAGGATTTGGAGGTGGTAATGGGAAGCCTGTCACGGAATCGGTTGGATCCCACAGCTCAGACAGTTGAAGTCGAGCACTCTATTCGGCACGAGAACTACAGGGAAACACCTAAAGCTGTTTATAACGACATAGGTAATCCTCTACTGAACGGTCCTCAAAAAAATCCAAGAGTTTTACTCAGTTTGTTTTAACCTTGTTGCTTTTCAAAGCTCTGCTGAGGCTCAAGGGGACTGAAGGATTCTGTGCCAACGAGACACAGTTTGTAAAGACGGCTTGTCTGCCTGACCCTCAGATCCCAGATGGGACGGCTTGCACCATTTCTGGATGGGGTGCCACAGAGCAATGTAAGGCTACCATAAAATGAAAGTTATAACTTTCATGCATGTATTTTGGTTTCTTCCTGAGACTTGACTCGAATACAGCAAGTTAATGACAAGACTAGCACTCTTTGAAGGAATATTTATTGCTCATGGCGTTGTGTGCTAAAGCTTTAAACAAGGACGGTGCATCAGAGTTTTGGATGACTTTTAGTCAAGTCAAGTCAAATTTATTTATAAAGCACATTTAAAAACAGCAGCTGTTACCAAAGTGCTTAACAATAAAGTCAATGGCAGTAATTTAATGAAAAAAATAATCCCAAAAATATATTAAAAGCATCAAAAGAAATGCATTAAAACAAAGAACAATAAAACACTAAATCCAATCGCACTGTCTTAAAATCCAGAGAAAACAGGTGTGTTTTTAAAAGAGATTAACAGGAAGTGAAGTGGTCTGTCTAATGTTGGGGGGCAGATTGTCCCAAAGTTTAGGGCCCACGACTGAAAAAGCCCGATCTCCTCTGAGCTTCAACCAAAAGCAGCTGATCAGATGATCTCAGCACCCGAGAAGGAACATTAGGTTGAAGTAGGTCAGAGAGATATGAGGGTGAAAGACCATTTAGATACTTAAAGGTCAACAGGAGAATTTAAACATCTATCCTGATACATACAGGGAGCCAGTGAAGGGAGGACAGAACTGGTGAGATATGATCAAACCTATGAGTTCCTGTTAAGAGCAGAGCTGCAGCATTTTGGACGAGCTGGAGACGTGAAATGGAGACCTGACTGACCCCAAAATAAAGAGTGTTACAGTAATCAAGTCGACGTTGTAATGAAGGCATGGACTATTTGTTCAAGGTCAGATCTGGTCAACACTGACTTAAGCTTAGCTATCTGCCTTAACTGGAAGAAGATTTTTCTAGAACAGAGTTATTTAATCTGTTTATTAAACTTAAAGTCAGAGTCTAAAACCATCCTGCGATTTATAATGTACTGCTTAAGATATGGATCAAGAGTCAAGGTTTGGGCTAAACACGATGATCTCAGTCTTCTGATCATTAAAACTTAAAAAAATTGAACCCGTCCATGCCTTGATGTCATCAAGACATTTTAACAGAGGCTGAATGGAGCAAGAACTTTTGGGTTTTAAGGACAGATAAATCTGACAGTCATCAGCGTAACAATGAAACAAAACACTGTTTCCTCAGGATAGACTCCAACAGGAGCAGATTGAGTGAAAACAGAAGTGGGCCTAAGACATTTAGGTACTAGATCTGATTTTAGCTCAGGATTGGTAAAAAGAACTTATAGTATTAGCAGTATTACTACTGCTGATTATCTGTGTAGACCATCTTGAATTGAGTTGACTCCAAAAGCAGATCAGTTTTAAACGTACATGAAATGATTTTTTTAAACAAGTGTTTCATTTAAATGGTTCCTACTAACTCAACGAATATTTTGCTAACATAGGCAAACACAGGAAATAACATAACCACTTGTCTTTCATGTAGCTTTTTTATAAATTACGTTTTTTTTTATGCTATTTTTCTCTTATTTCTTTAGCTGATTATGGTTCCAATCACCTGTTAGAGGCCAATGTTCTGCTGATCAACCAGGAAAAATGTTCTAACAGGGATGTTTACGGATCTGTCCTGGACCCCACCATGTTCTGTGCTGGCTACCTGCAGGGCGGGGTGGATTCCTGCCAGGTTAGTCATGCAGGGAGACATTTGTGTGATGTTTGCTTCTATTAAAAGACAGTAGCATCGTCTCATCGTCTCGTTTCAGGGGGATTCTGGAGGACCGCTGACCTGCAAGCAGAACGCCAGCCATGTTATTTATGGTCTGGTGAGCTGGGGAGACCAGTGTGGACGGAAGAACAAGCCCGGTGTTTACACACGAGTCACTCACTTCCTGGACTGGATCAGATCAAAGACTGGAGCGACTCCTTGAACAACCCTCATAAGCATCCCCGAATCCCCGAGGACAAGAACTTTAACTTCTGGATTAGACATTTATTTTTTCTTGAAGCATCTTATTGTAGTTTATCGATACAATTCAAGTGGTAAAATATAAATTGATGTATGTTTTATTAATTAAATACTGAACAAGATTTATTCGTTACACGAGCTACAGAAAGACCAGAAATTTTCCAGACAAGTGTCTTACATTATAACAGAAATGTTGCTTAAAAAGGATTAAATAAATTGTTACCTCCTTGTGCTCCAGTCAGACTTTTTAATTTTATGAGTTGTTTTTTTAAATAAACTTAAACACTTGCCAACATTAAGACAATAAGCAGCATTGTGCAAAAGTCTTGAGCATATCTTGACGTCCCAGTAGGCCCAGGAATGCAGATTACGTTGATCACAAACAGAAAAACTGACAATAATCCATAGTTACATTGATGGAAATGAAAAATATAATTTATCATGTAAATTTACCAGAATATAAATAAACATGAAGTGTAAGTCGTTCAGTGATCATCAGGACTTTTTATTCTCATCTTCGTGCCAGTTGCAGGGATCTTTAATCCAAAACAGAGTCAGCGGCTGCCCGTTGACCCCGTCCATGTCAATGCAGGGGTTGAACAGGGGGTACAGCGGCTCGGAGCAGTGCACGCAGAACGAGTGCAGCAGCGTCATGGCGTCAGCGTCGTAGAATGACAGCTCCCCTCTCTGGATGTTTGCCAATATGCCGAGCTTCCTGACTCTCTTCGCCACCGACAGCTGCTTCTCCTGCGTATCGTGACACGCCAGGTACTGTCCATCCCCGTGATAAATGCACCAGGAGGTGCCGTTCACCCCCAGACTGGAGGAACTCTCAGTTTTCTTTGAACTGACCAAACCGGTGGTCACACCTATCATCCAGTAGGGTTTGTCCTGAACTATGACCTCCCAGTAATGCTGGTGACCAGTGAAGCTCTCCTGAGCCAGGACGCTGAACTGAGAGTCGTACGGCTGGGGGCCCGGGACTTCCCCAACAGGCTCCCGTCTCCAGTAAACTTGTTTTCTGTCGCTGGATATTTCCAGCTTGGGATGAGCTGTTCTGGAGTCCAAAGCAGGGGAAGTTAGATCTGTGAGTAAACATTCAACACAGTTATTCAGACGGTAAATGTTCATTTATTTTATTGTAAAATGCTGAATTCTCCACTAACATGACCACATGCGGGGAACGTGTTGGGACAGAGCTGCAGAGAGGTCATCCACCAGCCTCTCCACCGTTCTCATCTTCTCTGAGTCGCACAGATCACTATTTACTGTCTGGATGGGTGAGAGATCCAAAGGTTCACTACAAACAACAACAAGAAGTAATTAAATCCTGTAGAGTAAATTTAATTCTCTCAAACATATAAAAACACACTCACCAAAGGTTCTGGACTGTGATTTGCTGTTGAAAATTAAAAATGTTTCTGTTACAGTGAGAATTACAAATGCAAAACACATTTTGAGCTAATCTTTATAAGATGGCAGAAACTTAAAGTGAAATATTTTAGTTTTTTTTTTTTATATCCTTCTTTTATACCTGTCCAGGTGTCCCCCACCTCTCACACAGTAAGTAGATATGGGCACCAGTGACCCCCGCGACACGGAAAGGAAGAAATGGGTAAAGAGGATGGATGGTTGGGGTCCACCTCAAGAAAGCCACCAGAGTGTAGTTTGTGGTTTTTGTCCCCTGGTGTCTAGCTCCATCTGGTGTTGTGTCTCTGTCCTGCTCCCTTGTGTCTGATTTGTTCCATTTTTCAGGTGTTGTGTGTTAGTCTTCGTCAACATTTGTATTTAAGCCTGTGTGTTTCTCTTACCCCTTGTCCTGGCATTGTCCTCTGTCCACTGGTGAAGACATGTCTGTTCTGTGAGTACCTCCTGATCATTCCATGTTTTTTTTGTTGTCCTATCAGCTCTTTTGTTTTGGTAATAAATTCTTTAGTCTTTGCCTGCTTGCCTGTACCACTGGGTTCACCAGCAACAGCCCGTTGTGACATTGAGTCTCTTATTTATTTATTTATTTTTTACAGCAAATCACCAGATAAGTCAGAACTTAACTGGGCCTTTTGTGTAGAAGATGAGCAAACAATATCTCACCTGTTGTAGTTAACTTTTTGAATGAGGAAGTGAAAATTTAGCATGTCTGACATGCTAATTGTTAGTCCAAATGCAGCTTGGCTCTTTTGATGCAGCCTGGGGTAACTTCAGCAGGAACTTCCTTTATATTTTGGCAAAAAATTATCACAAAATGCAAAACTGTATAAAAATTCTGTATAAAATCTGTATAAAAATTATTTTTTTGCACAAACTGCTATAAAAGTGTGAAGTCTGGAGTGCTCTGAATGGCAGCAGCTTGGTGAAATAGAGTTTAAGTAGGACAGGACTGACGAGTTTACGGCTAGTTTGAACACAGCCATAACAAAAGTGTCAACAATGGTGTACCACAAGGCTCAGTCTTAGGACCAACCCTCTTTACAATCCACAAGTAATGTAGGTCAGATCATTTCAGACGCGTCACTACATCTCTATGCTGACGATACAGTTGTTTTTATTGTCGAGCTAAACAGTTGCTAAGGTTTTCCAGCATCTACAGTCTGCATTCAACATCATCCAGTCTGATTTGTTCCGTCTCAAACTGGTGCTAAATGCTAATAAAAACCAAAGGGATGTTGTTTTCAAACAAGAAGTCTGTACCAGCAGTCTTTCTTCCTATCTTATCTACAAATGGTGTTCCTATTGAGTTTGAAGATTCTTAAAAATACTTGGGAATCTTGGTCGATGCACATCTCTCTCTTAAGCCTCATGTCGAAAAATTTATAAAGAAATTTAAATTAAAACTAGGTTTGTTTTCAGAAATAGATCTTGCTTAACTCTGAATGCTAGGAAACATCAGCTGCTACTTTCCTTCCCTCCATTGACTATGGTGACATTATTTACATGAATGCTCCTGCAAACCTCTTGCAGGTGTTGGATGCTGTCTATCACGGTGCGCTAAGATTCATAACTGACTGTAACTACTGTACCCATCACTGCACCCTGTATTCACTGGTGCAGTGATTAAGTGATCATTAACTTCCCGCAGGCTCTCACACTGGTACATTTGCATCTTTAATCACTCCTTGGTCTGTTGCCTTTATATCTCCTCCTACATGTCGTGTTGTCAGTGCAACTACAGCGTGCACTCTCAGGACATCATTACATGCAGCGTCCCCTCAGTGCGGACTGAATTTGGCAAAAGGGCCTTCTCCTACTCCGTGCCTGTTTCATGGAACACCTTGCAAAAAGATCTGAAGTTGTCGACTTTGATCTTCCTAAGGGATTTTAAACATCTGCTAAGTTCAATGCAAAAACCAACACAGACATGTTCCTGTTTTTTAGTATTTTACCGTTTCAAAATGTAGCTTGTTTATTTTGTTTAATATCACTACTTTTTTATTTTCTATGCTTTTTACGACTGTTTATTGTGAGTACGTCATGATGCAATGAGACTAATCTGTACAAATAAAGGTTTAATTTAAAAAGTGGATTGTTGCTTTTCAAAAAATATTTAAAAACTAATCCACTTTAATCCTGGTAGTGATCGGACTGTTTGTCAATCCAACCAGAGCCAAACTGTAGTGCTCTAAAGCTATCTAAAACAGGTAAGATATTGATTGTTCATGTTTACACAGAAGCCCTCTTCAAGGGTTCGAATAACACAAACTATTTTAAGATTCTTTAATCTATACAAACCCTTTCTGATTGGATCTTTAAATATAATCTACTGCTGTATTTAAACTAAATCAATTTGCATTTTAAGTCACCTGTAGAAACTGCAGATCATTTGTTTCCTGTAAAAGTGTTTTGTTGGTGGCTCTGAGTCCGTCTATCTCTGCGATCCGAGTTTCCATGTCGGCCCGCTGAGCCTCCAGCCAGTCAGTCGTGTGCGTTTCCTCGGCGTCGATAATCTGCATCATCAGACGCTCATCGGCGTCCAGGACCACACGAATCCTGCTGTACTTATCCGAGATCCTCTCTCTGAAGTCTGCAGCGGTGTTCTGGAAAATTAAGTAAAAGAAACCATCCAGAGGACCTGACTTAATTTTGCTGGGTTGCAATGCAAGATTTTCTGCAAATAAAAACAGGATTGTTGATCCTTTAAGGGTCCACATGGATCCGTTGTACCACAGTCTGAGTGTACAGAGACCCCAAGTCTTTGATGGCGTGCTCTGCTTCACCTCTTCTCTGCAGCAGTTGGTTCATATTCATCTCCAATATGCTCTAAAGACAGAAATTAAAATTCTTTAGAAAGTTAAAGGTGCAGTAAAAAAAAAGAAAAAATTTTAGACATTTTGAAGGGGGCCAGTGTAGCTACAGCTTAAACTCCATAAAAATGTATAGAAACTTGGAAAAAGTTTCTGTTTGTTAGAACTTAAACAGTTCTGGACATGACCCTTCTATTGAAGGTTTTTAACAACATTTTCTTAGCCACAGATGCAGGTTATTCTGTGCTGCTTGTCCTATTGGACCTTACATCTGCTTTTGACACATTCAACCACGTGATCCCCATTTCTAGGCTGGAGCAGTGGGTGGGCATCACAAGGTCAGCCCTCAAATGGTTTAGGTCCTACCTCTCTGACAGAACCTTTTGTGTCAACATTAAGGATTTTAGTTAATCATCTGCAGCTCTTTTGTGGGGGGTACAGCAGGGGTCTATCCTCGGTGCTATTTTCTTTTATACTTGCTGCCACTAGGTGGTATTTTCCGTAAACACAACATACCATTTCATTTATATGCCGATGACTGTCAAATTTACTTCCCCCTGAGGTGCAGCAGTGCACGTTCTATTCAACCTCTTCTTGACTGCCTGGCTGACATCAGGGACAGGATGTCTTTAAATTTCTTAAGTTTTAATGAGAAGAAAACTGAAGTCATGTTGTTTCCTCCTAATGGCATAACCAAGAACCACGGTACTGACCTCTCCTCTCTAGCCCCTTTAGAGAAGCAGAGTCACAAATCTGGGAGTGATAATGGACCCTTCTATGAAACTTAATAGTCATGTAAACACAATTGTTAAATCCTGTTTTTTCAGCTGAGGCAACTATCTAAACTGAAGCCCATATTGTCCAAAACTAAACTTGAGACATTAATCCATGCGTTCATAACATCCAGGCTTGATTACTGCAATGAACTTCTGTTTGGTATCAGTCAGACCTCCATTGCACAACTACAACTGGTCCAAAATGCTGCAGCACGATTTTTAACTGGTACAGGCCATAGAGAGCACATTACACAAGTTTTGGCCTCCCTGCACTGGCAACTGGTTCACCTTTGAATCCAGTTCAAAATACTCCTATATGTTTTTAAATCTCTGGACAGTTCTGCCCCATCTTATCTCACTGATCTGCTGCAGCCATATGTCCCACCGCACTCTCTGAGGTTGGCAGATCAGATGCTTCTTTCAGTTCCAGGAACCCGTCGTAAGCTCAGAGGTGACGGGGCTTTCTCTGCTGCTGGTCAAAGACTCTGGAATGAGTTACCACCGCATGTCAGGCAGGCCCCTTCTCTCAGTTTTTAAATCTCGCTTAAAAATCCATTTTTATTCCCTGGCTTTTGACACTGCGTGATTTGTTTTGAACCTGTCTGTATTCTACAGTGTTAGCCATTTAGTTATTATCTTCTTCCATTCGTATCTATATTTTTATTTTACTTTATATGGTGTAGAACAGGGCAGTCAGCTCGGGACCCGAAAAGTCCCAGGTTCGATCCCGGGTCACTGCACACCTTGTGGTGTCTCTGGGCAGCACAACCTCATCCCCAAAATGCCCCTGGGTGCTTTCAGTAGCTGCCCACTGCACCACCTGGTGGTGAATGGGTTAAATGCAGAGACTAATTTCGCCATTGTATGGAAACATACAGTGATGACCATGTGATGACATCATTATTTTATATGTTTAGCTGTGTGCTTTGCTTGTTTGTTTCTGTTGTACAGCACTTTGGTTGGCCTTGCTGCTGTTTTTGTTTTGTTTTGTTTTTGTGCTCTATAAGTAAAGTTGTATGGTATGAGAGATGACATGGAAACACTGTACATGTTTTAACAAACAGTAAACATGTTGAAACTGCTGTTTTACAACAACAGCATGAAATTGTTTTATTGGTTTTGGTGTGCCACCCCAATTTTCAGTGGCCCCCACATGACCGCCCTGTAAAAATATTTCTAAAGGCGGCACTGGCTCTACAGCTCCAGAGGGTTTTCTCATCTGTTCAGCAACAATCCCACTGATCTCACTGATTATTTTTGTTTTTGTTGTAAATTTATGTCTACAGTACGTTGTGTGATAAATGGCTACTAAAAGTCAGAGCACACTATTGCTCATGGAGACGCACGTTTTAATTTATGATTTGCACGTACTGGACCGTTTGTTTAAGGAATAGCGATGATGGTGCTTCAGTTAAAATGAAAAGTGTAATTCACAACAAAATTAAAACACATTAACAGAAGACATGGTTACCCTAAATTCAGCGCCGGCCTCGTGAAGCTGAGACGTCCTGTGGTGCTTGTGTCTGCCAACCAGGGCACACAAGCAGCACACAGGAACCTTCTCCTCCATGCAGAAGAGCTTCAGTTCGTCCCGGTGCTCCCTGCACTTCAGCGACAACGGATCTCTGGTCACATCCACGAGCGTGTGCTCCCTGAAGGCCGACTTCTGCTCGTGCAGCGAGGCGTGAGCCGGGCAGAGCGAGGCGTCGCAGGTCAAGCAGGTCCTCACGGCCTCCGACAGCTGCTCGATGCAGTGGTCACAGTGGACGGCTGCAGGAGCTGATCCCAGTTGCCTGTTTGCAGTGAAGTCCATCACTTTGCGCTGAAGATCAGTGTTTATCTCCAGAGTGAGGTCAGAGGGGAGGAATATCTGACACTCTGGGCAGAAGAAAGGGCCGGCAGGCGACAGATCTGTTTCCCAGACGGCCTGGATACAAGTGAGGCAGAAGTCATGACCACACTGAAGCGTGACGGGATCGATGAAGAAGTCCTGGCAGACGGGACACTTCAGAGTTTTGTCAACAGCCTCCATGGCTCTGCTCGGCTCTGTGTGTGTCGACGCAGCTCATTAATGTTTCACCGGCCTCTCTGCGGGTACACACCCCACTAACGAGCACTACTATCAGATTACTGTTGATGACAGGAACCGTTTTAAACCAGTAACCCACTGGAGACACACAAACCTGTTGTAACAAAATGTAGGGTAATAAAAATAATCTGGTCTAATCAAGGTTGAGTCAGGTCCTCTGGACGGATTTAAAAAAATTGTTGAAACGTTTCGTCTTTTATCCAAAACACTTCTTCATTCTGAGGTGCTGCAACAAACTCAGTCCTATAAATTGCACCTTCTCATAGTGACCAGTTTGCTGATGACATCCAGAACTAGCTGTTCTCATGATAAAGGACCATCAGCTTAACGACGATCGTTAGTGCTCTGATGACTGCTTGCTATTCACAGAGGGCTCAGTGATGCTATCAATAACAGCATTGTAAGAAGTATTTGAAGTTTGTATTTTCTGAGACAATTCTGTGAAGCTAAAATAAGCCGAACATTACCTAATGGCTAAAAAGAGTGAAAAACTGACTAAGAGCTAAATGTAGCAAAAGCCTAGCTAAAAGTCTCAAAGTGCTAGCCACAAGCTGCAAAACATTTGGCTTAAAGTATCAAAAGACGCTAAATTCTTATATTTAACTGTGAAAGTAAATATATGGCAAACATAGAAAAATTATAGGAACATACATAAAAGTGGAGGTAGAAACTAAACGTTGCAAAAGGCTCGCTAAAGGTGCCAGAACTGCTGCTAAAAGAAATAAAATGGCAAAAGTGCAAGCAAAATTTAAAAAATGCTTTTTAGGAACCGTCCGTCCATCCATCCATTCATCCATCCATCCATCCAACGATGTTCAGTAATCTGCATGGCTTCTTTTTTTGCTGAGACGTTTCATCCTGCACGCATCCATTTTTTTGCTGAGACGTCTGAAACATCAAAGCAAAAAAGGAAACCGTCCAGATGACCTGACTGAACATTGGTGGATTTTTACCTGGGTTATTGAGCATGAACTTTAACATCCATCCATTAACTTTACTCGCTTTTTCCATTTCGGAATGTGGTGGTCACTAGTGCCCACAGCAGTTACTGTGTGAGAGGTGGGGGACACCCTGGACATGTCTTCAGTCCATCACAGGGACACATCGAGACAAACAACCTTATTCACTCTCTCACTCACATAGGGACAATTTAGAGTCATCAGTCAGCCTAACATGCATGTTTTTGGTCTGTGGGAGGAAACTGGAGTACCCGGAGAGAGCATGAAAACTCCACCCAGAAAGGCCCCGGGCAGGGATTTGTACCGGTGACCTGCTCGCCGAGCAGCGGCAGTTCTACCAACTGTGCCACCGTGCCACTAGAAACCAAAAGTAGCAAAATTGTAGCTAAAAGCAAAAGTTAGCAAAAAAACACGACAAAAAATATAACGTTTGTCTAAGCAGAGGTGTTTGAAAGAATTGGAGATGTTTATATATGTATACCATATATCAAATGTGGGTGGAAAAGGTGAAACACCCACACCTGCCTCCACCCTCATTTGCCCCACTCTGGGCCCTTGAGCAAGGCCCTTAACCCCCCCACCACAAATCTCTTTTGAAAATGAGTTCTTGTGACTCAATGAGACGACCTGAATAAATAAAG